TAGAATGTAATCTATAGAGAAGGGATTATTATGAATAAAAGAGGTTTATTAAGGAGTGCCAAATACATTTGATATATCTTGGGGGAAATGGTTAAAATAAAAAGTCAGTGGTCTCCCAGCGGGAGCCTCGTATCCCCAGCAATGACGCTGCTGATGTTATATGACAGCAGGATTCAGCTCCTCTTGGAAGGCAAGCAGCCAAACTCTCTCTGCAGGGACAGGTCTGCCAATTGCTATACAAACAAATCTTCAAAGATGAATTAAAACCCTCTTGATGTCTATTGGAATATTGTTTAGAAAAAAAATCAAATATTTAGTGTATCAACCAGAACAGCTTATCTTCATTGGCCTAGGAAGCTCATAATTAGCATATCTGAATGTAGGAATGGCTCAAATGGAAGTGATAGGGATGAATACTCTAAATTTTGCCCTTCTGTGAATAATTGATGGTGACTTCCAATAACAACTGCCTACTGGCCAAACCATAGAAAAGTCAAACTGAGAAGTAGCACCTTTACTTCTGCCTGATCAATGCAGAAACAAGGGGCCATATTTGGATCCTCAAGAGAAGAAATTCCCTGGTAATATCAACTCTCGCTGTATGGAATATTCAGATGTGGTCCGACTCTTGAATAGATATGATGCGTCAAACAGAAGCAAAAGGCAGAGAAAGGCAGGTGAATATACTCCACAATCTCTTTGAGTACAGAGGTTGAAGACTGAGCCCTGAGTCCAACAGAACAGGAGTCAGGCTCAATCACTTACTAGCTGCATGACCTTAGATAACTTTAATTCACCCGTCGGAAGGTTAGTTTACTCATCTTCAAATAAGAATAATGATAGTTACCTCATAGGTATTATTAAATGAAGTAATCTGTAGAGTATAATATATACAGTGCCTAGGATATACTAAGTACTAAATAGTATCCAATATTATGTTATTGTACTATTACTAGGCTTCAAAATAAATTAGGTATTAAAATTAAGATTAAACATGTTTTATCTTTTAAAAACATGTTTATATTATTTTTCTTGCTACAAACTGCACATATTCTGCAAATGATAGTGGCTATAATCTGAACAATATTATCGTGAAATGTGTAAGATGATAATTATCTTGTGGTGTTAGTTATGTAGGGGAGCAATGTGGCTGCATGGTATTTATAATATAATAGCAAAAGTCAAAGAAAATACAGCCAAATGTATCCAGAGTATCAGTATGTTCTACCCTAGTATGAAATAGGGTGTCAAAGGAAGTAGTTGGTTTTGCAATTTATTTATTCTTGTAGGAGAACACTGAGTTCACTGGTTTAATCACTGTGAACAGACTTTACCTGCTCAGCTGCCCAATGAATGCCACCAGTGTTATGGCCCATAGAAACAGGGCTGGCTTAATGAGCATGAATATCTATGTACCCACTTAAAATTATGTTGCTGGTCCTACATAAAGTGAGTATCTACCCCACACATTAAAGTAGGTCAATATATCTTTATTGCCCTAACATTGTTTTTGGTTATCATACTGAAATGAAAATAAAGAACTGTTAATTAGTTATTAATTATAAGCCAGAATCAGGAAGTAATTTTATCAGGGCATCATTGCAAAAAAGAATCAGAGCTAGGCTAATTATTAGCCCATTAGACCTCAAAATTATAAGCATCTAAGAAGCATTCTTTACACTATCAAAGTCTACAGGTTCTTATGCCCTATTAAACTTTTTAACTCCATTCATTTTGAATTAATATTCAAAATTTTTTATGTACTGCATAGATCCAGGTATTCTTTATTTTAAGGAAAATAAATGACACAGTTTGCCTGGTATATGATTACATATCCTGTGGAGCTTAAATGAAACTCATTCGCAGTAATCACAGGAAGACCAAGGATTCAAATAGTATACAAATTATTATAGAACATCTGAATATTGAAGTACTACCTTTCTCCGAGAAGCATATATGTCTAAATTATTTGTTCTATGATTCCACTGCACAAGGTTAGTTCTCCTGGGTCAGATTAATTTAAAGGGAACATAAATAAATATGATAATTTAAATAGTTAAGAGACAATTCAACTCTGTATATTTTGTGATTTTAAATATTATTATAAAAGCTTTCAGAGATTAAATGAGTCATCTTATGTTAGGATAAAGATCACCCTTTGAAATTAAAAGGCAATAAAATTAACCCAAATGAGTATATAATTTAACAACAGATATACACGGTGGGGGCAAAAGTAGGTTTATAGTTGTTCATATGGAAAATAATAATAAATAGTAATGCAAGAATGAATTCTGTATTTCACATACTCACAACTATAAACCTACTTTTGCCCCACCCTGTTTATGAGGGAAACTGCTATTTTCTTTAGTAGGAATCAGTAGCTATTCTTTTCGCTGTGGAAAGATTATTTAATATTACTCATATGCCAAACATATTCATAAAACACTTCTTTCATCAGCGAGACTAGTAGTTTATATGCATTGCACTGAATTTCTCTTTCTCCCCAAAATTATGCCCCTTCTTCAGTGCATACAAACATCTGTTAATGGTACTGCTACTCTCTCATTTCCCAAGTTCAAAGCCTTAAAATATTCTCGGTCTCTCCTTCCCCAAGTGCCCAGCATTCAAGCTGTGAACAGCTCACATGTTTTTACAATGATGCAGTCTGCAGTATATTTCTACCAATAAGCTCAGTAAAATATCTACTGAACTCTCATCACTTAAAAGGAAGAAACACAGTTTCTTCAGAGAGATGAACTGACTTAAGGATCTACAGAAACTTACTGAAACAACTAGGACCAGAATCATAATTGGTTGAGCCTCAGAACATTAATGTTTCTGCTGTCCCTCTTCAGTTTCTGTTGATTTTACTTTCACAACATTCCTCACCACTGTTCAACTACCTCTCCCTTTGATCTGTCTCTTACTGCTCTTGCCAGCAATGTGCTAGCTGGTATTTCTAACTTCCTGTTTTGCAGTCAGGCTACGCACTACTGCTGCCAGCTTCATGCTTCCCCAACAGTTCTTACCGCACCCAAGCGTCTGCGCCACATGTCAAAGACCACTTTGTTCAAAATCATGTCTAAATGCCTTAGTGCTATGACCTGAGTGTCCCCCCAAAATTAATATGTTGAAATCTTAAACCTCAAAGTTGATATTTGGAGCTGGGGCCTTTGGAAGATGCTCATGTATCCATGCCTCTGTTAGGTCATTAGGGTGAAGCCCCCATGAATGGGATTAAGTTTTTGTTTTTGTTTTTATAGCCCTTTTTACTATTTACTGTTGTTGCTTATTTCTATTTATTTATTTATTTATTTATTTTTATTATGGCCACTATTATATATGTCCCCATTTCCCCCTCTTTGTAAACCTCTACCCCAGCGGTTCTCACCCTGTGGGTTGCGATCCCTTTGGGGGTCAAACGACTCTTTCACAGGGGTCGCCTAAGACCATCGGAAAACACATATATAATTACATACTGTTTTTGTGATTAATCACTATGCTTTAATTATGTTCAATTTGTAACAATGAAAATATATCCTGCATATCAGATATTTACATTATGATTCATAACAGTAGCAAAATTACAGTTATGAGGTTGCAACGAAAATAATTTCATGGTTGGAGGTCACTACAACATGAGGAACTATATTAAAGGGTCGTGGCATTAGGAAGGTTGAGAACCACTGCTCTACCCAGTCCCTGCCCCTCATTCCCTCTGGCCATCACCACACTGTTGTCTGTGTCTATGGGTTTTGAATACATGTTCTTTGATTAATCCCTTCTTCTTTCATCCAGTCTTCCCACCCTCATCCCCTCTGGCAGCTGTCAGTCTGCTTCATGTATCCATGCCTCTGTTTCTATTTTGTTCGTCAGTTTATTTTGTTCATTAGATTCCACATATAAGTGAGATCATATGGTATTTGTCTTTCACCCACTGGCTTATTTCACTTAGTGCAATAATCTACAGGTCCATCCATGCTGTTGCAAAACGGAAGATTTCCTTCTTTTTTACCACTGTGTAGTATTCCGTTGTATACATGTACCACAGCTTTTTTACCCCACTCCTCTACTGATGGGCACTTGGGCTGTTTCCAGATTTTGGCTATTGTAAATAATGCTGCTATGAACATAGAGGTGCATATATTCTTTTGAATTGGTGTTTTTGGATTAGAGTTCTTATAAAAGAGACCCCACAGACATCTCTCACTGCTTTTACCATGTGAGAACACAGTGAGAAGTCCCCAGCTGTGAACCAAAAAGAAGGCCCTCTCTAGAATGCAACCAGGCTGGCATTTTGGTCTTGGACTTCATAGGCTCCAAAACTGTGAGAAATAAATATCTTTTGTTTATAAACCACCCAGTCGATGATATTTTCTCATGGCAGCCTGAAGAAACTAAAGATACTTAGTGGGACATTCATGGCCTTCTGTGATCTACAAAAATGGAATTCCTACTTATTCATTCATTCAATCAACAGAGTTCCTATTGCATAACAGACATTTTTCCAGGTAATGCCAAGATGAATGACATATTCTTGTCTTACTCATCAAGGAGCTCATGGTCTAATAGATTTCTTTAAATACATATTCAAAAAAAATGTTCTACAGGAAAAAATTTGATTGTTTTACAGGAGTCTTGTCCGAAACAAGGTTATGAAACATTGTAGGACAATTATATATACCATATATTATGTTGTTAATATTTAT